CAAAAGCCAACTTTGGAAATACCAATGACGGAAACACTAGCAGACGTTTTTTTGAAAATTTCGAAGTATCAGCGACAATTACGGGGATAGACGTAAATTTAATTTATAGATTAAAAGTGATTTTGGACACATTGTGCTGTGGTTTAATAATAAACTGCGAGTTGTTTGAAAGATATTACCAAGAAACGGCAAAGTTGTACGTTTCTTTGTATAAGTTTTACCCAATGTCTCCGACATTGCATAAAGTGTTGCGTCATGGGGCTTCAGTGGTAAGAGAAGCAATTCTTTCCATTAGACAACTGTCCGAAGAAGCGGCAGAAGCCCGCAACAAACACATTAGGATGTTCCGGCTCAACTACGCCCGAAAATTTTCCCGGATAGCCTGCAACGCAGATGTTTCTAACAGGCTCCTCTTAACTTCCGACCCTGTCCTGACGGGCATGAGGAAGAGGAAGAATAAAAAAAATGTGTCACTTTCGGCTGATGTTTTAAATTTGTTACTAGAAAGTGACGTTTTAAATTTAAGTTTTGATGAAGACGACAAAAATGAAGAATAAATGCTTGTATATGTTACATACGCTTTTTTTTTACCTTTTCCAAGCTAAAACTTAAATAAAACATCGTTTGACAACCATTAGGCGTACCATATATTTTTGGCCAACTTTTAGGTCCAAATACCTGTCTGTGCGTCGTGGTATAAAAAAAAGGTACTTTTTGATCTAGAACTTTGATCTGTATATAGATATTTTACATGACCTAGCTACACAAATCATACGGATCCTTTGAAAGGAGAAGTCAACCAAGATGAGTGTATGCTTCAATATAACTTTCTATTTCTATGTAAAGATGAAAGGTATAGTTTTTGCAGCTAGATTATCTCTTCCTATTTACTTTCGATTGTGATAGAAAAAAGGAGGACAGGTTTTGATTTATTGTCGTTGGCCATTGAGCTATTTAGTTTTGATATGAGTAATGTTGATTAGGCTCCTATATATCTATAGATACTGTTATGAATACTTAATAAAATAGTATGAATTTTACATCGTATTTTTTGGTTTTAATTGCTTAATTTGAATATGTCTATGAAATTGTCTTTCTTAAATAAGCGGATAATATTTTGGGGGGTGCGAGAAGTACATTAAACCATAATACCTATTACACCTAGTGTTACGCATTTCTGCATCACCCCATGGTTGACTGTTAGAGAATGCCACCCGGCATTAAGGCCGCCATCGTATGTTGTACAGAAGTGTTATTAAATAAATAAATAAAAAAAGAAAAGACTTTATTCGTCATTTTAGATTTCTAAACACGACAGACCTTATTAGATATTTAAGGTGGTTCCAAGTGTACGACAATATTTGTATCCAAGGAAGAAACTGAACTGAAATCCAAAGCCAATTATTATAAAAACCTGAAGAAAAAAGCTATGTGCAATGTGCATCTTCTGTATATCTTTTTAGACCTTCAAAGTTCAAAGGCATTTTAAGGAAAATTATTTTAAATTCGATTTGTTCAAAATTAACGTTAATGAGTTTGGCAAAAAAACATGGATTTGAGTGTAACTAATAATGTCAAGTGTTTGAGTAAATAGATTTTTTTGGTGCAACGATATTGTTGTGTATAAATTGTTTACTTTTAAAAGTATTATTTGTAGTATTTAAAGTGTTAAAAATTAAAACGGTCTTAGATCTGAAGATGGGTAAGTAGTCTCAAAGGGTCGTTAACTTTGTGGGATCAACCAAATATGGTGGTTGGTTACAACCTGCCAGGTACAGTGAACTGCACGGGCGCCATCGGGTCATGGCTACAAGCCACACGCAAAGGAGGAATATCGTGGTGGTAATAAATAGCTGGTAAGATTAATGTAGGTACACCTAAAATGAAATTCCCGAGGGTTTCATTTTGAGGCGTCCGACGAATTGCTGTTTTTTTGATTAGATATGTGTTATTTTCAGCCAGTTTTGAACACAACCTGTCTTATTGTTTCCTGTAGGTATATCTTCATTACTCCATCTTCTTTTATTTCTCCCTCATCTTCATCATTTGCATATTTAATACCGAAATACATTTTACTGGAAATGTTCAAGTGACGAACTTGTTGGCTCATTGGCTCGGAGCGCAGTAGCGCCCTCTATTGGATAACATGATAACTAGCAAGTAGGTACGTTCGCTATTGCGTAGGTACGTACATACATTGATAGTACATTATATGGCCCGTAGATAGCGCTGTAAAAATTTAAGAATTATAATCTTTTCTGGGGTTTTTTTTAAGTAAATTAACTGAAAATTGTACTTTGAAACGTACAAAAAGTGTTTATGAAAGTATGTTATGTAGAATTGTTTGATATAAAAATGTTTTCCTTAGACAGATTCGAATACACGTCACTTTGGAAGCAACTGGTCGAAAATTTCAACATGTCTTTCGACTGGGAGCTTGGCAACTCCTGTAATCCGGCTTCTCGGAGGTCGGGTCCGGAGGATGGTTTGAGGTCGGGGGTTCTGGTGCTGAGTGGCCCATGTTGACTGGACGTCCACACTAAGCCTGGTATTGATATGGATCCCCCGGAGGAGTCTGGGGGATGCAGGTCTACTAAGGAGGGGCGCACCGGGCCAGGGGGGAAACCCAGCAGCCAAAAGTCCCCGTATCGGGCAGTAGTGGGATAGCGGCCGGGAGTGGGTGCTCAGTATCAGCCCGACCAATAAAATCAGACCCGTTCCTTTTGCTGTTTTTATTGAAAATTGCGATTTTGAAGTATGTATTTTTTATGTGTATAGGACATTTTTACTTATTGCGTATAATTGTTGTTTCCCTTTTTTTATTTAATAGTTTAGTTGTAGTAAATTATAAGTTGTAAATATTTATGTTAGTTAGTTTAGTTATAAACAATGTAATAGATTTTCGCAATAAATAACATTTCTATACTTTTTGCGTGTAATTAATTTTTTTTTGGTTATTGTACTAATTTAATAAAGAAGTATTGTAAAGTGTCCTAAGCAGTGTCGAGATGTATTTTGAAAAGCGGTCTATTTAGTAGCGGCCGCGAACAAAACAAAACCCTTTTTGACAAAGGGGAAGTTCGGAACTAGTAGTGCAAAGAAAGGACAAGCCTCGTGGGTATTTTAACAACTTTTAAAAAGTAGTGTTGTTTATTTTATTACAAGTTTTTGATAGATCCAATCACAGTAATTATAACTACTGTTTAAACTGTCAAATACCAAGCGGTCACCGGTGACCGCGACCTATTGTTTTTTAATTGTGTCTATAAAACCGGTACTCGACGAGTTAAATAATGAGGATGTTGCACAGGCCACATACTTAGCGAGTCTGCGTTAGCACAAACCGACATACTACTGAATGACCCATGGAGGAGACAGATTGTAGTAAATAAATAAATAAAAAAAAAGAAAAGTTTTTTATAGGTCTTAGAGTATTACTCTAAGGTATAGGTACGTCTGTACCCACTGTACTGTTAGTTTCATAATCATGACGCAGTCGATGGACGTGTAATCATTATGCCTACGTTAGTAATTTATCGTCTAATCAACAGTCACAATGTTAGTATGATAAGGAACAAAAAACACTGCGTCACACCTACTAATAAAGATAAGCAGGTACAATTCCAGACTCCGTGCTACTACTGAGAATTTATAAAAGAATCTATTAGTACTTTGCCCGACCCGGGAATCGAATCCGAGTCCTCTTGCCCAGCAGCCGCAATTGCGATCATTCTACTAATGTATATTTGGAAAAAAATATTCAGCTTTGAACATGGTGTACAGTAAACTTTATTTATCCCGTTGAAAATCATCCCCTAAATTTGTTCATACGAAAGTAGTCTCTAAACATTGGAAATAAGGTCTATAACATTATAGTAGTTATTGGAGAGCAGTCACCGGTGACCGCTTGGGGATACATGAGTAGAGGGTTGTTTACAATATCCAGTGATTAAATTGTGTTTAACTAATTGATTAAGCTGAAGGTTGTATATTATATATATTACTATATTTTTTTTTAAAGTCATACAACAGTAACTACAGAACATAACATCACGCCTTTTTATCCTCGAAGGGGTAGGCAGAGGTGCATATTGTGCCACTACAATGTAACACCCATTTTTCACTATCTATGTTATGAGTCCCATGTAATAGGGGGTGAGCCTATTGCCATATACCGGGCACATTTCCAGACTCCATGCTACTACTGAGATTTTTAAAAACCCCGTAATACTTTGCCCGACCCGGGAATCGAACCCGCACTTACGACCACTCGGCCAACGAGGCAGTCACGATAATAGTAACTACAATCATAAAGAAATGGCAGTAAGAAACACTAGTAACTATAATCATAAAGAAATGGCAGTAAGAAACTTTAGACTTGCTACGACTTTGTCTAGATTTCATTACTTTTTAGAGATGAACGAGCGGCTCCATCGAGACTTGTTTAGTTTTTAACACAATATTTTTGGGAAAAAAGGAATAAAACCACAAAATCGACTTATCAATTTATTTCAGAGCTGACTTCGCTTATTACAATGACTATTGAGTTAAAACTAAGCGATACTTGCACTGAGCAAGTAAGGCTGCGTGTCGAGTAGGTACTCATTACTAATTTGGTAAAGTAGCCCTATCTATGACACCACTCATGACTCCTAATCACACTAAAATGAACCCCAAGACTGTGAAGACAAAGATGAAAATACAAATACAACATTAGACAATGATGACTAAGGTATTATTAGTAAACTTAAATAAGTCAGCAATGATCTTTTGCTTATTTATTATTAGCAATAGTTTTAGAAACACAAATGGCTTGAATTATCAATCCAGACGCAACTAAATTATTTACTGTGTCATTGTGTAAATTATTACTGTCACACACGTTTAACTCAATGAGTTTTACGTTTGCAGTTACTTTGTGTTTCAAAATACAAGAATTTCATCGCTGACAAGTTCGGTTACTTCTCCTACAGCCCTGGTTGGTTCTTTTAAAATTCTTTCTACTGTGCAGGCGCTTCTTTATTTTCTTTTGTTTCGGCCATCATCGCTGGTTCTTCTATTTTCTCAATTTTCTCTTCTTTCTTTTCAGATTCAGACATGATCAGTTCTGGGACCTGCATCGGCTTGTTGGGTTCTTCAGCTGCAATCTCTGCTGGTACGGCTGATCTCTCTTCGGGTTCAACTGCCTTTACTTCGGGGTCGACTCTTTTCTGTACAAAAAAAAGCATATTTTAAATATGAAAACAAACTAAGTTGTATTCTAAAATTATCATCCAAACTACAGATGCTTCTCGTCATCATGACAATAAACTTTATCAGTGATAGATACAAAGCCTCTTCTAAACCATACTTTGAACAGAAATTGGTCAAACCTACTTTTAATAACATGTTAAGTTTTGCCTTTATTTATCATTTTAGTTAAAACATATACATATTTAATCTTAAAATTACCTCAACGGGTTGCTCAACCGCCTTCTCCTTCTCCTTCTCAACTTCCTCAGCAACTACAGGTACATCAGCATTCTTGAGTTCGCTAACCGCTGCTGGTTCAGGGAGGATGGTGCAGTCAGCCTGGTTGGTCTTCAGGAAGAAAGTCCTAGAGATCTTGAACCTGTCGAGGACAGCGTAAGCGTTCTGCATCACAGCCAGGGATGGGAGTCTGTCACGAGTCAGCAACCAAGTATTTTCTGGGAACAAGAATTAAATTTTTAAGTTTAATTTTAACTACTACATTTGTTTACGGCCGATTTATACATGATATGATATGCATAGCTAAGTAATTTTTACTTACGAGTATGCACAGGTCCAATGCCGCTGCACGACCACATAACAGCATAGCTGTCATAATCGGTGTCCAGGATGCTGTATTCGAAATCATAAGGCAACGGTACTGAGGAGTACTTCACCATGACGCGACCCTCGCCTTCTCTGCCGACCTTCTGCAGGTGACCTTCCATTATCCGCTTGAAGCCAGTCCTAGGACATAATATCATGGTTATAATATAGCTATTTTGATGCATTGTTGCATCCGAGCGTTGCACGGTTGACGCGGTGGCTGGGCAACTGGCTGCCGTGCAACGTGTCGCGGGTTCGATTCCCGTACGGAACAACACTTGGTGTGATCCACAAATTGTTGTTCCGGGTCTGGGTGTGATGTGTATGTGAACTTGTATGTTTGTAAACGCACCCACGACATAGGAGAAAATCCTAGTGTGGGGCAAAGTTTAAAAAAAAAGTCGGCTGTCGGCAAGGCGTTTGTGTTAGGCGCCTAGCTTCACTGAGAAACAGACCTACAAATAAATTTTTGACGTTTCCAATGTGCCTAATTAAGGATTTATTATGCTTTGACAATGACTTTGAATAGGCTAACGAACCACTGTAGTTTGTACCTAAGTTTATCAACAACCACTTTCTTTGTGAGTGTGAATTCGCTTGCATCTGCATAATATTATACCTATACATAATATGTTGAATATTATTATTGTTATGTGCTATAGAAGTTATACACTATACATAGGTACGGATCGTCATGCGAGGCTGCGCACAGGCCGCTTGATGTGAAGGAGGGGTTCACACGCCCAGATTACTCTCCACCCACATTTCCATACATAACCAGTTCTAAATTGATCCTTTGGCCACTATACAAAATTTAATCAAGTACATAACTGAATTTTTATGTCAATTTCCCAATGGTTTTGATGATTACAATTTCAGACTTCCTAGTTCGTTCGTTCGTCACTACAAACGAACGCCTCGTATCTACAGTTCACTAACTGTAAGAGGCAAGGGATGTATTGGGTGTGATTATAGATCGAGAGATGATTCAAGGCCTGGAATTGCGATGAGAAAAATATTTGGTAATGCCCTGAGTTCTTTTAGCAAGACCATCACTTAGGGACGTATGAGACAAAGAAAAGAACAAGATGGCAGTACATCAGACAATGACTTGTTGTTCGTTAACTTAATACAACAATATCCTTACTAATATTATAAATCGGAAAGTGAGTTTATTTGTTTGTTCCACTTTCACGCTGTAACTACTAAACCGATTGCTTTGAATTTTTGCAGACGTGAAGTTGGTCTGGATTAAATAATAGGGTACTTTTTTATTCCGGAAAAATTTGATATTCTCGAGAGAAAATGAAATTATTGGTATAGATGGCGCTGTGTGTATTGGTATATGTCACATAGGCTACTTTTTATCCTATTGTGACGCAAGCGAAAAAGCTAGTTTTAAATAAATGGGCAAATAAAAAATTCTATTCTTAACTGCATCATCGCTTACCACCAGGCGAGATAATAGTCAAACGTCGGCCCATCAAATATAAAAAATCCTTCTAATTGGTGTTTTTATATTATCGTTAATAACTTACAAGGAATTGGTGATCTCGTTGGTGACCAGGATTCTTCCTTCAGGTGTGGCTGTGTAGTGAGTCGTGACGCATCGGGTGCCCAGCTCGGTGACGGTGAAATACCTCTCGGCTTCATACCATGTACCGAGGAAACGGTTCATGTTGAAGTTTGCCATAGCCTGTGTACGGAAGTGTGCTTAGTATGTTATCAAATGTATAGCAAAAACTAAAACTGACACGTTTAAAATTACCATCAGTGTAACAATTCAATAAACGAAGTCTTATTAATTATTATTGTGCAATTTATTCTAATAAAGCCTTTTTATATCAAAATCTAATTCCCTTTGAAGCTGGAAGATTTAAATAATGTTAATACGAAAAAATAAGCAAGGAATATTGTTAATTCCTTGTCAAGTTAAGATTACTACTTAGGTATAGGACTTTCTTCTAAACTTTGAACAAATTATGACATTATAGTAATTTTTGCTTAAAATAAGACAATTGTGTCTTCTATAAAATCATTAAAGGACACATAGATATACTAAGAGAACCAATAAAACAAAACAAAAAGACATTTAAGCTACTAACTTCGTAAGGAGAAAAAAATATTTATCTTCACAATTAGAGTCGTCGCGCATATTTTTCGCATGATACTAATGAAAAGAAAGTGCTTAACCTGGAGGTTGCGGTCGACGCCCCACAACCTGTTGCGGGTTGACCACGGTCAGTGACGGCGGTTCAAGCCTCTCAAGGTCAGGTTCATGGGGTTTTTTGTTTGGTTTTTGCTATATAGTATATGTAGTATCATTTGATGTTATAAATGAATTTAACTGCTATGTAAATATTGATAGATTTCGGTTTTGTTTCAAAGGCAATATGTTTCTTATCTGTTGGGCTGAATGTCAAAAAGGATAAGCAAAAATAATTTTGATAGATCACTATTTATATGATAGCACTTTTACTCTAATTGATTTTGAAATTGAAAGATATTTCAAATATACAAGGAATAAATTAAAATATAAAAATACTAATTTAGTTTCAAGTGTTCATAAAACATGGTATAATAACTGGCTATGCCTCTTTCCTTCGTTCAGTACAAAAGTCATAATTATCATCAAATTCAATTACAAAAATCCCCTTACCATAATAACAAACCACAAAATAAAAAAAAAATAAAAAAATAAATAACTTACTTGAAAATCAGGGCACCACCCGAGCGAAGGGATCTGCGCTGACGCAGTCGCGATAATAGTCAACAATAGAAGTCGCCACATCTTGACTGGTGGACCAGGATCTAAGGGGTTGGAGAAGGGTGGACTAGATGAGCACCGGGAGCCGATACAGGAATGGCGTCAGACGTCCCGGCTCACGCTTATAAACCTTCGCAACTCAGCCCGAACCGGTCTGAAACTTGAAAATGCATCTAATGGGACACCTTATCTAGTAAGCACTAGGCCAGTGGTTCTCAAAAGAGTATCCTTAGGGAATGGCGTTTTTATTAAAATAGTTAAAGACTAGGTACACCCTGCGTTTTCCTGATTAGTCACTCTATAAAGCAACAAAAAAGTGCATAATTATTTTACAAACTATATTTAAAACAATCTTCTCTTTTTTAAGTAGGTTAGTTAATATACTAAAATCTTCTCCTAAGTATAATATAAACTATTCTAAAAACCGCATCAAAATCGGCGTGAGATATTCACGCACAAACATTCACATACAAACTGAGAACTTCTTTTTTGGAGTCGCTTAAAAAACTGCATTATTAGAATAATTGTTCATTTTCCCTTATAACATAAAATTACATCACGCCTTTTATCTCCGAAGGGGTAGACAGAGGTGCACATTACGGCACTTAATGCCACTGTACAATGTAACACCCACTTTTCACTATTTATGTTATGATTCCTGTGTAATAGGGGGTGAGCCTATTGCCATATACCGGGCGAAATTCCAGACTCCGTGCTACTACTGAGAATTTCTAAAACCCAGTAATAATTCGGCCTACCGAGGCAATCTTTCTTATAACATTAAAGCAAAATTGTTTGCCACTCCTAATTAGCGGTTTCAATTGATTACTGTTTTATTTTCCTATACTTCGCATTTTCACATGCGAAGTTTTACCTTTTTTTTTAATTTTAAACTTTGAGGTCCATGAGTCAAGGTTGATTTATGATGGCCGCTGCTGTAATGAATTTCGCAGCGATCCTTGTTAGGTAACGTGCGTGTACGCATGTGTGAGTTAATGGGGATGCTTTGTTTGCTTTGTGTTTCCACCGGATGTCTTCTTTGCCATGCTAGCCTCGAGTGCCGAGTAAATAAATATTGGCTGGACATGTGAAGATTTTAATGTTTAGCCAGTTTGCTTAGGAAAGTCTAGATGTATGTAGGTACATACATATCTATTGAATTGCTGTAGGTTTTAGTTTAGTACTGGGTTCTTTTGAGCGATGGAAATGGTTATTTTGATTATTTTTTAAATATCTATATTTAAGTTTTTTTTTATCAACTTCTTAGCTGGTCTAGGGGTGTCTTAGAAATATATATTCTGGGAACTTTCCGTTATGTTTACTTACCATGTTATCATACATAAAAATCAAGTACGGATATATGTAATTCCTTTATTCCTATTCTTTATAGGTCAGGGAGCCAAAATTGGGTATAACTACAACACTTTTCTGCTTTCGGCTCATAACACTAAAGGATTTATTTTGGTTATATATTAAGGTTACCTATACAAATCGCTTGGCTTTTTTAACTAAGTGTATCCAATTACTAAGTTCCTAATCCCCAAAAGGGCGGTAATGCACTTGTAACGCCTTTGATGCTCCAGGTGTCCACGGGAGATTGTTTACTATCAGGTGATCCGTCTGCTCGTTTACCGGCTTATCTCAAATAAAAAAAAGTGAATATAACAATCTAAGCGCTAACATCGCTAACATGAAATTACAGTTACTTCATCTACTTATCCTTCTTAGCAATAGTAACCGCAGAGACAAAGAATGTTCCCAAGGTGGAGCAAAAAGACATGGGCCATCTGCCTCCTTACCGGTTTGGAGTCCCAACTCCCGCTTTTTATTTTCTATCTTTACTATCTATTTTTATACTGAGACCTGTAGGACTAAATTGCTTGGTTAGCTAGTTCTTTTAGGGTCCTACAGAAATGTGAAGTGATGAAAACCTTTTTGGTTTGTTTGTAAGGGGTTTTGAGTATTGATTTGTACCTATTGTGTTCGTTTTGTGTGCCTAACTTAAAGGTAACTATTTAGGTATGAGTCTGTCTATCACTAGCACAGAATACTTTGACTATTCTTCTGTTTTTAAGAACTTTTCTATGATTTTAATAGCTGTTTAAACAATCAAACGTCGACTCATCTTTATCTTTACTAATATTATAAATTGGAAAGCGAGTTTGTTTGTTTATTTGTTTGTTCCGCTTTCACACCGTAACTACTAAACCGATTGCTTTGAATTTTTGCAGACGTAAAATTAGAAGTCTGGATTAAATAATAGGGTACTTTTTATCCCGGAAAAATTGATATTCCCGAGGGAAAACAAAAGTATTGGTATAGATGGCGCTGTGTGTATTAGTATATGTCACATAGGCTACTTTTTATCCTTTTGTGACGCGAGCGAAGCCGCTGGTAAAAGCTAGTCATACTATATATAAAAAACCCTAAGGCCATCAGCCTAGCATTTTGCCTAGGACATTTTTTCATTCGCATCGACGGAACCTCAAAACATGAAACGAACAAACAAAACAAAGCGTTTTTATAATTAGCCCCTGTGTATCTACTAATTATGGTTATGTCTATTTAAAGAGCCTTCGCTATGTAAAAAGAATTATAAATAGTCGTTACAAAACAGGAATGTTTGACTTATTTGTTCAGAGGAGTATAAAAATTTGTTGCAACTTTGCAACATGGAATTCTACCGGGCTACATTGTAACCACTACTTAATATCGTATTTAGCACTAAACTTGTCACTTATACCTAGATACTAGCTTTTGCCGGAGGCTTTGCACGCGTTAAATTCGTAGTTTTTATACATCTAAAACTTTCTCTTGTCGTGGAGAACCTAACGGGTTACCGGGGCTCCGGCTCGAAGTGCAGGAGAAGGAACGGGGTGGTTTTTAGTCAGTAAGACTCTTAATACTCCCTCCCGCCTCACCCAGGCGGGAGAAGCCATTCGATTAATTTCTCTCCTTAAAAAATCCTTTCTCTTGAATCACTATTTGTTGTGTATTAATTAAGCATGCGTATTTGTTTCAATGCGCTAATCTTCGTAACTACTAGTCCTATTTGAATAATTCTTTTTATGTTGTATAGTGCATTTATCGAGGAAGGTTATAGGCTTTTAAACATCATGCAATATCAGTAGGAGCTGAGCAGAGCGGGTCAAACCGAAACGCGCGGTAGAAGCTAGTTAAAAAAAATATTTTAAAGATTACTTCATTACATTTTTTTATATACTTACAAGATCCGATATATATGTGTATGTATATATATGTATACAAAGTTTATGTTCCTATTCGATGCTGCATGCCAGCGTGTAAAATTAATGTAAGTATCTATAAAAGTAAGGTATGCCAATTACACTATCCATTTATATTTATGATTATAGTGCGTATCGTAAAGTTTACGACCAGCATAAATATTCTATGGGTACGAATTAAATATATATTATTATGTACTTATATGCTATGTATTTAATAGAATTTTGCCTTGTAGGACTTTTCTTCTGTGCTGTAGTTGGTTATAAGATAAAGGCTAAAAATATCGATGGATTAGGGAAACAAATTAAATTTAATCGTAATTGTAGACATAGGTACTCGTTTTATTAATAATTCTCAATAGTAGCATGGAGTCGGGAAATGTGCCTGGTATATGGTCGGAGTCGGGAAATCTGCCTACCCCTTTGGAATAAATCTATAACAATAACGCCCACGTTTCACTATTTTTGTTATGAGTCCCATGTTATCGGGGGTGATCCAAACGCTATAGTAGTATACTGAGATTTTTTTTAAATCCCAGTTATACTTTGCCCTGGAGTCGAACCCGAGGCCCCTTGGCCGGCAGTCGCACTTGCGAACACTCGGCCAACGAGGTAGTCATCAGCAAAGTATCTAATATTCACTAACAAATATCCATCTTCGAATAAAATTATAAGTAAACCCTGTTAAACTGTCTGTTTCAAATAAATCATGTACAGTAATAAGGAAACTTGCATGATCAGGTACTGAATGAATTATTAACTTCATAGGTTGCATTTCTACATGAGATAATGGTCCTTAGTGCGTCAGAATGGAATAAATACAATGAATTCTTAGAAACAAAACTATATAAATAAATATTTCTGTGGTTTTTGCATAAACGCGAGCACGGTTGTAATTGGCAAACGCTCCGAATGTTTTCCATGTCTCCTGACTTTGATGTGAGTTGATTCTACATCTTAACTTAGATAGGATGATTATTTTTCTTTAAATAATGTTAACGTCGTCCGGGTGCGATCTTACTAAAAACTGCACTTTTCAAACGCGTTTTGATGATAAACTACTGGTCTTACAAACATGTTAATTACAAATAACTTTAGGGAATTTCCTAATCTAGGGAATAGCTTACGTACTTTTTTCGATTTTCGGAGTATTCGCACAATACATTAAAATAACTTAACAGAGATTTCCGTAATTTATCTTTAAGCATCATTTTTCAAAGAAAACCACAAACAATATTCATAATTTTCTAATACGTTTTCTTATACTGTGTATCAAAAACAGTAAGGTTTTTGATTAAATACGAAGGCCTCGTATTGCGAAGTATATCCTACATATATTTTTCGAACCCATAGGTGCTACTGCAGATGGTCCCAACACAGAGGGTTCTTAATTTGAGTCGAACTTATGGCCAGGAGTTGCACTGCCAACAAATCTATGCTATACATATATATTATTATTATATTATTCTAAATATATAAAAATGAAACCCGTTTCCCGTTGTCACGCCATAACTTGAGAACGGCTGGACCGATTTGGCTGATTTTTTTTGTTGTGTTTATTATTGTCAGGAGAAGGTTCTTATGATAGAAAAAAGTCTTGAGTATCCTACAGGGACGGGAGAAAACGGGATTGCGCGTACGAAGTCGCGGACAGAAGCTAGTATATAATAAAATCGTAGGAAAGTGAAAACTGTACATTAAATATTTTTTTAAAGAATTAATGGTGCGTGATCTATAGTTGATACCGAAGCCAAAAATACGGTTTTTAGAATTTTTGTT